CTATATGGAGATGTAATTCACACATGATAAAATTCACCCTTTTTCAGAGAACAACTCAGTGGGGTTTTGTATATTGAAAGCACAATTCCTTTCAAAACATTTTTATCACCTACAAAAAGAAACCCCTACCCATTAGCAGTCCCCATTTGACCCTTCTGTCACCTTCATCAATGTCTCTGTTTATTCCCTACAAATGGWATCATACACTCCCTGGTGTTTGGCTCCTTTACTTGCAATCCCATTTGCAGTGTATATCCATGTGTTTCATTTCTTATTATGGCAAACAATATTATTACCTGAGTACACTGCATTTCTTTGACAGTTTCATCASTTGATACATATTTGGATTGACTCTACTTTGGGGCTATTAAGAACAATACTGTCATGAACCCTCATGTACGACATATTGAGTAGGCATATGTTTTTGGTGCCCTTACRTGCATGCCTAGGAGAATTCCTGGGTCACAGGGTCAATATTTAACTTTCTGAGGAGTTGCCAAATAGTTTTCCAAAGTGCCTGTCTCATTTTACAGTCCCACGAGTCACATTGRACAGGTCCAATTTCATCACAAACTTGTCAACACTTGTTACTGTCTTTGTGATTTTTAGCTATCCTTGGAGGTATGAAATGGTGTGCTTTGGTAGAATGCCATTAATACGTGCCCTTATAGAAGATTTCATAGATTCTCTTCTGTGTATTTAGGGTCTGCTGTTGAGATATAAGAGAGCTTCCAGGAAAGCTTGTTAAAGAAAGCTAAGTTAGGGGAATTCATTAGGGGCCTTTCTTTCTTTCTTCTCCACCTGGAGTGGTTGGCTCTGCAGCAGTTAGCCCCTGGTCCATGAAGTGAGAATAGAGACCAAGCCTTTTCAAAGACTAGAAGAGCAGGAGGAAAGTCTGAGGCTCTTGGGACTTGGAAGGCACTATGGCATGCAGATTCTAGTTTTCTTATTTGACAGAGACATTCCTACCTTAGTTATTCCATGATTATTTGGATGTGCTGTTCTGTTGAGTAAACTTAATTTTTTTCCCTGTATGAATGTGTRTGTGTATGTGTATGTGTGTTGATGGTGTAAGTTAAAATGTRCATGTGTGTGTACACAGGTTATGCCCATGCTCCTAGCCCCGTGACCTTTTGTGTAGCATTGCGGACCTACTCGCATTTCATAATCATCTCACAGTGTTTATGGATATTTGCCTATTTASTCTGGATTGAGGGCTTGCTGGGACATCTTGTTCACCCAGCACAAAAGACATACCCTAGCTGTCTTCCCAGCCCAGGAAACTACTAAATAGTGATTAGATAAATGAAGACAAGGGGTGTGTGCTTGGGACCCTGGGAGCTGGTCTCCTCTGGAAGGGGAGGGAAGGAGGCCTTGCCAAGGTGCAGAAGCACAATGTGGAAGAAGCATTTTCCAGTTCTTTATGTTCTCCTGTGCATCACCCTGTTGTGGTCTTGGCTGATTCACCCATGTTGAGAAGTCTCCAGGATTGACATTGCCTTCCCCTCTCCCCATCCTCCAACCCAAGGCCAAACGTATCTCCCYAACACCCAGCTTGGCCGCCATGGGCTAGATTCAGGGCCAAAMCCCCTGATGGAAGTGGCCCACACTAGTTGGTGGATGACTGCTGTAATTTACTCCTCTCTGGTGGTTCTTCCATTTGGGAAAAAGACTTCTAATTGTATAGCACTATTTTAGTTAATGGAGAATCAGTGTTAGGCCTGGTAAAGGCCACCAAAGAATCCAAACATCCCTGGCTTTTTTGTTTCATCTAATCAGGTAGACTTCCTCAAGTTAGGTAGACTTAGCAGCAACTGAAGTTGACACAGAGACTGTTGAGAACTTGACAACTGAGACTGACACAGGGAATACAGGCAGTCAAAGATGGCGGTGTGTCTGGGTGCGGACGCACACTCCTGTAATCCCAGCAGCTCGGGAGGCTGAGGCAGGGGGATCACAAGTTCAAAGTCAGACTTAGCAATGGYRAGGTRCTTAGCAATCARTGAGACCCTGTCTCTAAATAAAATACAAAAAAGGGGAGGGGGCTGGGGATGTGGCTCAGTGGTTAAGTGTCCCTGGGTTCTATCCCCAGTGCCAAAAAGGAAAGATGGCAGTGTGTGGTGACCACCTGCTTGGCTGTACGGCAGGGCCTCCCACATWGGCCTTTGGAGCAGGAAGCATACTGTTCCACGTGGTTGAGTGAGGACTCTGGGATTCTCTAGATCTCTGCTGGCCACTGAGGCAACCTATCTCACCCATGTGTACTCGGTTTCTCTCTGTAGAATGGGCTAAGAACATAGCTACCTCTGGATGTGAGGGATAAAGGACGGGATTAGGGAGAGAATGAAAAGCCAAGAGCTGAACAGTGCTCAGCCYGAGGGTGAGCTCAACAGTTCACAGGTAGTATAATCACTCCCTGGTTGAGCATGCTCATGGAAAGGGCAGTGAGAAGACGGTTTATCATCAGAGGGCTTAGGGGTGAAGACAGATACAGAGCTTCTATTAGGGTCAGGCTCTCTAAAATTTTGATTAGAAAGTGCAGATCAGATCATAAAAGGAAGGGGTGAGATCAGAGGTGCTCATTCAGCGAGGGACCAGGGCAGCGGTCTGCAAGGAACTCGGCCTCCTTCAAATACTTCAGAGCTTCCGAGATGGCTGAGGAAGCCTCTAGAAAAGGCAGCTCTGCCCGCAGGAGGCGGGCCAGGCCGATCCCCGCCCAAGGCCTCCACCTTTCCCCACTACATCCTTCTCTCGGTGCTCATCTGGTGATTCTGCAGCAAGCACACTTCCTTTACCAGACAACAGAACGTTGCCCTAGAAACTGTGGTTCTCCATCGGGAACAATTTTTGCCCCCAGTGGACACTGCAGTGTCTGGATGTCACACTGGGGGTTGGAGTACGTATGGGGGTTGCTACTACACCCAGTGGGTAGTGACCAGAGAGGCTTCTAAACCTCCTACAGTGAGTGGACAGAAAAAATGTGCACAGCAAAGGATTACTGGACTTAAGTGCCAAAATTGAGAAATGTCCAGTTTGGGCTCCCAGTTCCCCTCCCTGTGCATCAAGTTTGGTGATAGAATAATGTGCACAGTCAACCCCTATCCCAGCTTTGACATTCTAGAAGTTTACTTTTTCTTTCTCTTTTTTGTSTTGTTTTTGCTGACCTCTGTGAATTTCGTACTATAACTAATGAGGAGTGGCTGAGAAGACTCCTCTTGCCTAAAGAGGCCAACTGACAACAGGCTGTGGCTGCTAGGTGGCCTCCGCTGTAGATGTCATCAACAACCTCTCAGCCTCTCATCTGGGGGTCCTGAGAGGGGCAGCGGGGCAGCTCTGGAGTATGCACCCCACATGTAAGCACTGGTTCCCATTCACGGTGTGTTACAGAGCTCTCTCTGTTGCTCAAAACCAGTTTGGTTTGAAGATTATCACCCTGTTGACACTAGCCCACTCTGTGAAACTGACRGGCCCACACACCTTTGTTGAGAGTCTGCTCCTCACCCATTACCTGAGAACCTGCGAGGAGTTTGATAAATAGACAGATGGAGGGAAGATTCTCTGGCACAGGCTTATCTTAGCCGAGGCCAATAATATTCCCCCCCACACATGGAATCCTCTCAAAGAAATGCATTAGTTGATTAAAGCAATTAAAAGAAAGTCTCTAKTGGGAGCAGACCACAAATGCCACCAACTCGGATTAAAGAGCACTCTCTTGAGATCTGACCATGCACTGGAAAACCTAGTGACAACTTTTCAAAGGTTAGTTCAAAACAAGTAATCCTCATGCACATCAACGTAATTCTTTCACTTCAGTGAAGCGGTTCAATAGTGAAGGTCATGGGTCTTTAGCAAGCACAGAGACAAGTAAAAGCAATTAGGCAAAATGGAAGCTGGGATTCCAGGGCTCCAGAGCCCGGCTAAACAGAGAGATCCTAACTTGCAGCTTTGCTGCTGAGAATCTGGCAACAGATTCCAAACAAGGATTCCATAATCCGATTTCGCCCTCACCCACGCTGACTGCCTGTTTCTTAGGAATGTCTACAGCCTTAGGAGGTTAAAAAAAAAAAAAAAATTCACCCAAAGCACAGACAATGTTACAAACTTTCCACTGGGGTTGGAATCCTGAAAGTATTGTTTCAACAGTCCAGAGTGACACAGAAGCCAGCACAGTCAGTACTGCTTGAATAGCCAACTCGGAATAGAAGGAAAAAAGCCCAGATGATCAGGGTTTCCYAATCTAGTGGAAATCCACAAACCGGCACGGGCAAGCACCATCAGCATCCCAAGGGGGCTCCTTCCAGGGCCCGGAACTCAGGCTCCCCCGCAGACCCACTGGGTCAGAATCTGCAACCACATTAAAATCAGAGAAACATCCTCGAAGGACATCTTGTTCTTTTTCTTTTCTTTTTCCTTCTCATAATCTGAGTTTCCCCAATGGGAAGATGGAGCTCAACAAAGTGCACACAATGGAAAAAATGAAAATCGAAACAGAACCTAAGAAATGCAGACCATCATGGGGCTGGGGTTGGGATAAGGACTTCCCGTCTGCACTTCGCAGTTCTCTTTGTAAGGCTAGAGTCACTTATTTTGTCACGGGGACGGGGACTGGGGGGGGGGTGCTTTTCAAGGGGAGCTGATGCTCTTGGAACAGCACAATGACGGTTTTTGAGGGACCAAAAAACGTTGGCCACTCTAGTGCGGGCTCCGCGGGGGTGTGGGGAGTGGGCTCAGGAAGCACGCCCCCCCCCACACACACACACCCGAGGCAACTGGAGAGCAGCACTGGTCCCCACAAGGTTGCCCTGTAAATTCGCCCCGGGTCCTGGAAGCCTCCGCTTGCTAAAAAACCCTGGGGTTCACAGAACCTCCAACTGATCTGAAGTTTGAGCTGCAACTTTCCCTGGAATGAAATAAATAAATAAAGGAGACCGTAAGTGCTGAGATAGCGGCCCCGCCATAGTTTTCGCCCTCTGCAATCAGCGGAGAGAGGAAGGGGTGTGAACGCCAGGGATCGGCTCCGGAAGGGGCTCTAGGAGCGGTGTGGCTGGGGCGAAAAGTTGCCGCCTCTGCTCCAAACTCAGCRAGAGGTTCTCTGCCGGAGTTTGGGCCCCTAGAGCGAAACCTCAGAGAGGGCGGCGACGCGCCCTGAGAGGATTCTGGCTGGCGCCCGGGGCTGATCAGCCCTGCCCCGAGAGCCTCAGGGTGTCCCCAGCGTCCTCTCCCCCGCCGCCAACTCCTATCGCAGGGGGCGCACAGTAGGCCGCGGAGGCGGGATGTGCGTGCGCTCGCGCTCTGGCAAATACGGCCGGAGGAGTCTTGTTCCTCGGGCATTTTCCGAGGAAGTCTGGAGCAATTAGGCTCAGTCCGGGGAGAGCTAGCGAGCGGCGCGGCCGGCGTGTCTGGGCCGCCTCGCTGGGAGGGAGGGGCGGCCGGCCGCCCGGCGGCGACCCCGGGCCCGGCCGCCACCATGGGTTTCGAGCTAGACCGCTTCGATGGCGACGTGGACCCGGACCTGAAGTGCGCGCTGTGTCACAAAGTCCTGGAGGACCCTCTGACCACGCCGTGCGGCCACGTCTTCTGCGCCGGCTGCGTGCTGCCCTGGGTGGTGCAGGAGGGCAGCTGTCCGGCGCACTGCCGCGGCCGCCTGTCGGCCAAGGAGCTCAACCACGTCCTGCCGCTCAAGCGCCTCATCCTCAAGCTGGACATTAAGTGCGCCCACGCGGCGCGCGGCTGCGGCCGAGTGGTGAAGCTACAGGCACTGCCCGAGCATCTGGAGCGCTGCGACTTTGCGCCCGCGCGCTGTCGCCACGCGGGCTGCGGCCAGCTGCTGCTGCGGCGGGACGTGGAGGCTCATATGCGCGAAGCGTGCGACGCGCGGCCGGTGGGCCGCTGCCAGGAGGGCTGCGGGCTGCCCCTGACCCATGGCGAGCAGCGCTCGGGAGGCCACTGCTGCGCCCGGGCACTGCGGGCGCACAACAGCGCGCTGCAGGCCCGTCTGGGCGCGCTGCACAAGGCGCTCAAGAAGGAGGCGCTGCGCGCAGGCAAGCGGGAGAAGTCGCTGGTGGCGCAGCTGGCCGCCGCGCAGCTCGAGCTGCAGATGACCGCGCTGCGCTACCAGAAGAAGTTCACCGAGTATAGCGCGCGCCTCGACTCGCTCAGCCGCTGCGTGGCCGCGCCGCCAGGCGGCAAGGTAGGAGTCCGCGGCCCACCGCTCCCCTTCCTCCCCTTCGCCAGACCCGGGGTTAGCGGGGGCTCCGCCCCTCTCCTCCTCAGGAGTACCAGGATGCCAGGAGCTGCCTAGAAGCATCCCTGCCTCACCCTTCTTCCAGTGCTCCACAGCTGTCCATCAGCGGGTTCAAGTCGTTTACCTGTCTAAGCTCAGAGGCCCAGGGCCTCGGTCCCTGCAAGCTGGCCGGTCGCACAGGGCCAAGTATAGCCACAGCTTCAGAGGATCTGGAAAGGTTTAAAGGAACCCCATCCAAGTGTAGGGCGGGAGTGGGGAATGGACTCTAGCCAGAGTTTTGCCGCTCACCACAGCTGGGCAGGGAGGTCGCCGGGCCTCCCTTAAGGTCGGGAGTCATGGGTCTTACATCGGTGACCCACAGAAGGAAGTATGATACATAGGGCAAACTGTGCCCGTGATCCCACCGGGATTCCAGGAAAAAACGAAGGGAGCCGGGCACGGTGGCGCACGCCTGTGTTTCCAGGGACTAGGAAGGTGAGACAGGAGGATCCCAAGTTCAAAGCCAGCCTCAGCAATTTAGTGAGGCCCTAAGCAACTCGGACACCCTGCCCAAAATATTTAAAAAATGGGCTGGTGATGTGACTTAGTGGTTTATAGTTCCTGGGCTCAGTCCCTGGTACCAAAACAGAAAAACAGAGGGAACCCAGAGTCAGCTTAGAGTAGGTTGAGATGGTTGCCAGGGAGAGGCCTGTGGGCTCTGCGGCCACCTCCGCGTTGGTCTAGAGCGAGGTGGTGACCTCTCCAGAGYTGGAAGCCGGCTCCTGGAGAGGTAAAACGGTAAAACACAGGCCGGTACTTTTGAGGGATGCATCCGGGCATTTCAGGAAGAATCACAGGGCCCCTCCCCAGCCAGCGAGAAGGRTGGGTCTTGTGGACCTGGGACTCCTTTTAAATTCTGGGCTTTTTGCTTGCCAGTTGAGTGGCCTCACAGGTGTTTCAGTTTCTGTGCATGGAGAAGGTGGGCGTTCTCCGTGGGGCGAGATCACGTGGGAAGGCCTGGCCCGTGGCTGGCCCGTGCCTGGCAGAGTAAATGCGCAACACCTGCCACCTGCAGTTATTTTCAGCCTCTCCCCAGCCCACCTGGCGCCCTGATTGGCTTATAAGAGCAGCCAGAGTGAGGGCCCGCTGTGCTCCAGACTGGGTGCTTGYGGTTAAGTCGTTCCTCCTGGATGAGGTGGGTGTTGTGCTTCCCATATTGTAAAAGAAGACACTGAGTTTCAGGACGGTGGGTGGGTCTTGTCCTGGGCSGCAGCTGTTGGGAGCCAGGGCTGTGTTGAGACCCCCGTGCGTCTGACTCTCTTAGCTCAAGCTCTTAACCAGTGTTGGGTTGTCTCTCAATAGAGCCACAAGTACCACTCCTTGTCAAGTGCCAGCAACTGTGGGAAGCACTTTACGTGCATTAGCCATTTAATCCTTCGGGATGAGGAAACTGACTCAGAGAGGTTATGTAACTTGTCCAAACTCAAACAGTGACTCAGGGGAAGGAGCTGGATTCAGTTTCTTCGTATGAGTTCTCAGTCTCAGAGTCTGGGGGCTGAAGCACTTTGTCATGGGGGGCTRTCCCAGGCACTGGGGACCGGACTGGACGTTTAGCCGCTTTCCTGGCTGGTAGTCAATCGATGCCAGTCGGTAGACCTTTCTCCCCAGTCGCAACTGTCAAAAATGCCTCTAAATATTGTCAGATGTCCCCTGAGCCATGTTTTCACCAGCTGGGTGCTTTTGCTTTCCTGGGGAGGGGCATGGGCTGCCACTCTGGCTGCCTCCTCCAGATGGCCCAGTAGAGARGGGGACAGATTTGTCTGCTTCCCCTCCCTCTGACCTCCCCCAGCCTGCCTCCTGCCTCTTCTGCACATCCAGGCCAGGCCTGCAAATTTTCCACGTCCCCTCCCCCTTCCTGTCCCCCGCCTGTCTGTCAGCTGCAGCCTCAGCAGCTGGCTAGCTCAGGAGAAGGGCAAATATTTACAGCTCCGAGGCTCACCCAGGACCCCACAGGCTATCAAGAACTGGTGTGAGCCTGTGAGTCACTCAGACCGAGGGCACATCTTGGTTTCCATTCAGGAGCCAGGTCCAGGGCAAAKGAGTCTCTGAGTTTCTCCTGTCTGTGTTGTCATGTAGACTTCCTGCGTCATTTTAAAGTGACACTTATTTATAAATAAGCCATTCACTCCCACACAGCGTACACTTCGTTCATTGTTGAGATAGTTTATTATTTCTTTTTGCCTTTCTGTTTTCTTTCTGGAGTGTTTGGACAAACGCTCTCAGAATTAAAAATATGATACTTGAATCAAAACTGTAGATGCTTTTGAGGCTCCGCTGGGTTGGGAGAGGAAATCGAGGGTACTAAGTTGGGGGACAAGATGATGGTTTTGAGCACACAGCAGGGCCTTGTTCTGGAGTGAAAGCCTGCTTGGCATGTCATGGATCTCAGTGCCAGCCATGGGGACCATCAGTGGTCTGCTTGGAGAGCTGCCCTAGACGGTTTTCCTGGCCCCAGACCCTGACGGGACCCTGACTGGCCCACCTCAGCTGAGGTCTTGGGGAAGCTTGTTCCTCTAGTCCCAGAGTTAACCCTGAGTGGCCCTTGACCAGAGCTTCCCCTCCTCCTGCATCAGCCATAGAAGTCTTCCCTCTTGAAAGTGGCTAAGGACTGGTTTATTTCCTCGGGCCCACTCTGTCTTGCTGGGCACTGTCTCTTCACCTCCCGAAGGCAAAAGTTTTGACATTGCCTGGAACCTCTCATGTAAGCACTTAAATTTCTTTTTTTCTCCCTCCCTCCCTCTTTTTCTCTCTTTGTTATTAACAGATCCTAATGTTTGCTTCTCTGTTACAAGCTGAAATAGATAAGAAACACTCAGAAGATGGTCCGTATTAGCTCCAGAGCCTAAAACCCATTCCATAAGTGATCTGGCTAGCTCTGGGTGATCTTAGATTAGATTGAAGTGATCTTAGATTTCAATTTTTGGATGCTTGCTGAATGCTTGGAGTTCGGCAGTGCTGTAACCCACACAGACACTGTTTCCTGTTCCTGATGTGAGTTTAGGTTAGTGCTTCTCAAACTTAGCCTGGCAGGAATCACTAAACCTACCTGAGTCCCATCCCTAGAGATTCTGATCCCTGGTAGGGCAGGCCTGGGGCCTGAGGCTCTGCCTTTCTAATGAGCTCCCTGGGGATGCTGGTCCTTTGAAGGACTGTTGAGTGAGTAGAGCAACCTGGGCTGGTCTTCTCTGTATCTCCATGGTTTTACTGATGTAGTGGGTTAGTTACTTGGCAGTGCTGGGGGTCTAACTCGGGCCCTTGCATGTGCATTACAAGGCCCTTGGCAWGAACTTCGTCCCAGCCCTCTGGTCATTGCCTGAAGTCCCCTCTCTGATCATTTTAGAAYCAGGATGAGGTTTTAAAATCCACGTCACCAGCAGTTAATTGCTAGGTCGCCATGGTCTAGAAAGACATGCTAACATGTCAGAGTCTAGGCTGCAGCAGACCTGGTGACGGCAYGGTTTTGCTTCCGGCCTGTTTCCCATCCTAACATACCTGACYGTAAGAGCAATTCCACTTTAGAACACAAGTTTCTTCGGCTTTCTGCAAAAGGGAATATGCTGGGTAAAGTTTCTTTGGGATTATGAGACGTTTGAAGCTGATCCTTACACCTCCTGCTCGTGGATACCCTCATCCCGTCTTTCATTATGTGCTGTGGCTCTTACCTCCTAATATGCCGTGAGCCTCTTCGCTATTCTCCAGCTCATTCAAGTGATCCCTCTGTCTAAGCCAAGGTTTCTCCCYGCCTGCCCCTTAACACCTTGGATTGGGTGATTCCTAGTGGTGTGTGCATTCACGGTGGTGATGCAGAGAGGTGGTTTGTACATCATAGAATGTCCAGCCCCATCCCTGGCATCTGCCTACCCTGGGGAGTTGAAGGTGTCTCCAGACCTGGCCAAATGGGGGAGCAAATTGGCCTTGGCCTCCACCATCACTGACTCCGGCCTCTGCTTCATTCGTTGCCTGGTGCCAGGAATCTTCTCTTGGAGATGTAAATGTGGCCTCACTGTTCCTTCCTAAGTTTTCTGCCTTCCTGTTTCCTGTGCGTGGCCCTAAGGTCCAGCCTGCTCTACAGCCTGCTGGCCACCTGTCCTTCATGTTCCTCTTCCAGCTTCATTGGTCTCTAAGGGTCCGGGATGTGTCCCCAAGCTCCCCACGCCTCTGAGCCTGTGTGCCTGCTCTTGTCTGCACCTGGGACCGTCTTCCCAAGTTCACTGTATCATCTACCAGTTTTCTACCTCTCCCCTCCCCCCAGCCCTTGGGCCACCACTGAGGATTTGCTCCTATGTAGGTGACCCTGCGTATCAGCTCCAGCACCCCTGCCTGCGGAAGGCCAGACTTCTCTGACCCGCAGCGTCTGGTGCCCACACCTCTCCCTGTGGCACTCCTCCTTCATGACCTTTATCATAGCTGTAACTGAATAACTGACAGGATCTGTCTTATTCAGGGCCATGTCCCCTGCACGGGATCCTTTACCATGTACACGGTAAGCTCTTGGTGTATTCCTTTGGTGGACACCTTCAAGACCAAAAGGGCTGTCCTGCCAGCCCTCAGAACTTGGCAGGTTGCTAACCCCACATGGGTTGGCACTAAACAGGAATGGGATTGTTCTGTGACCTGCTCCCTGCTGGGGAAAAATTGTTTCCAGGTCTTTGGGCGGTATACTTTGTCTACCATTGGATACACCCAGATCAAGTTGTATCAAGCCCCAAATCTCAGAAACTTTTTTTTTTCCATTTCAGAACTGGAGATAAGTGACTCTAATAAACAATTGTGTCAAAAGATGTTCCAGATGTCGGGACACTTTGAAACCTATCTAGGAGCATGTGCTACCCACTATCTTGTCTCCGGCACCTTCCTGTAGCACATCTAACCAACCAATCGACTTGAGCTAGAAGAATCGAAGGCTT